AGGCTCATGTGGATTGGATGGTGACGTTCATCGTCGCTCGTTAACACTGAACTGGTTGTGGAGAACTATAGGCAATTTTTGATGCCTACACCTATTTTCACCTATTGCTGCAGTCCAAGGTGAACCCAGAGATATCAAACCTATCGTGTACCTCCACTATGTAACAACATGTTTTACCAATCACAGTTATATCCTCTAGTGGAAACAAATATAAGTGAAGGTACAAAACAAGCAAATAAGGGAAAAAAAATGCTATAGACATGAAGCAGAATGATATATCTCATAAATGAAATCATGTCCCAAATAAACTAAACTGGAATACAACTGATATACATCTGGGAGAACTATAGGCAATTTTTGATGCCTACACCTATTTTCACCTATTGCTGCAGTCCAAGGTGAACCCAGAGATATCAAACCTATCGTGTACCTCCACTATGTAACAACATGTTTTACCAATCACAGTTATATCCTCTAGTGGAAACAAATATAAGTGAAGGTACAAAACAAGCAAATAAGGGAAAAAAAATGCTATAGACATGAAGCAGAATGATATATCTCATAAATGAAATCATGTCCCAAATAAACTAAACTGGAATACAACTGATATACATCTGGAGTATAAAATAACATGATATGTCTTAGCATGAATCAACTAGAATTCGTATGAAGGCTACATGTCTTAACAATATAAGTACAAACTCAAATGACCGAATGGAATCATAAGACTACTGTAGAGTCCATACTAGTAATAATACGTGACAGTGACTATACAAGAACTCCGTCACCCTGCGACTCTCCGATGCTTTGAACCGCCTGAAAGGAGAAATAAAATAAAAAGAACAACAACAAGAGTGTCAGAGCGCTACAGCAAGATCACCTCTGTCCACCCCTAGGAGAAGGGCGGCCAAATAAAATAGAGGCTCTATCTATTAAGCATAGTCTACCTATATTATTTTTTCCGTATCTAATAGAATTAATATTTAGACCCCTATAAGATGAGACGCAGTACGTCGAGCGGAATAATCCAAACAAGGAAACCCTCACGTATATACCATATGTCTCAAATTGTAGATAACTAAATACTAATACCGAACTAAGAATAAACAATTTAAATATAATTAATAATTAAAAATTCACAACACGAGACTGGTATGTCGAGCAAAATAATCCAGACAAGAAAACCCTCATGTATATACCATATGTCTCAAATAGTAAATTACTAAATATTAACCCAGAACTAAGCAACTGAAATA